CGGTGTGTTCTTTTTTATTATTTGCTTCCGTATCGTTGGTTTTGATTGTGGTGAATCTTGTTTTTGGATTTAAGATTGTGCTTATTTTAAATACTGATTCACCTCTCTATCTCATTATTAGCATTGGGCCAGTTCATAAGGGCTTAACATCCCTAACGAACTTTCAAGTGGTATCAAAGCACTTTCTAGTGTCATATGAGCACTTTTAAGTGGTATCAGAGCCGTATTCATAAAATAAGTTTTTAAAAGCTTTTGAATTTTCGATCCGTGGCTAATCGTAATATTACGGAAAGTTATTCAATCACCAGACCTCCTTTATTTGAAAATATGTCATTTGATTTTTGAAAAACTCGCATGTCTGTTTTCTTGTAATCAATTGATTTTTGCATATGACATATGATTTTAACTGGTTATTCATCACCGTCATGAATTGTTAATGGAGTTAAAACTGATATTCATTTTAATCAATGGAATAAGGAAGAACAACTAAATTCTCAACTGAATGCAAAATCTTTAAATTGCTTTTTCTGTGCTTTAAATTCTGAAGATTTTATGTTAGTATCCTCGTGCACAGTTGGTAAGGAAGTTTGGGATAAACTACACACCATATATGAAGGCACTAGTAAAATCAAACAATCCAAGTTGAATATGTTAATGCATGATTTTGAACTATTTTTCATGAAACCTTTTGAAACGATCTTAGACATGTATACCAGATTCATTTAAATTGTAACATCATTGCAAGCCTTAGGAAAAGAATTTTCAAATTTTGAAAAAGTTAACAAAATTCTTCGTTGTCTACTGGATAAGTTCAATACAAAAGTTGTTGCTATTTATGAATCAAAAGATTTGAATGAATATTCTATTAATAATTTGATTGACTCACTCATTGCATACGAGCAAAGTTTGGGTCAAAGGCTTTTGGATGCAGGTGAAACGATTGTTCTAAAAATTGAAGATACAGAAAGAGAAAGATTAGTTGGTGACGAATGCAATAACTTGACAAGCAAATCACAAAGCTCACAAAAGCATAAGAAAAGTGAAAAAAAGGTAAAAGTGGTAAGGATGTCCATATTTCTTGTGATGTTATTTGCTTTCGATGTAGGAAGCCTAGACATATGAAAAATCAGTGCCCTAATTTAAGAATTCTTCCTACGAAAGAAAGGGCAAGGAGAAGCAAAGTTTAAACAGGGGAAATAATGAAAGGCAAAAAATCTCATGGGCAGATCTGGTTTCTGAAGCATCGGACCAGGAGAGAGATAATGGTTAAAAGCCTTTCGTGTTTTTATGTTGTGTTTTTATTTTATGTTTTCATT